TGGGCCAAGCAGTCCCTGAGCAGCTGGGGGGCTAGTGCTTTCTTCCAAGGTGGCGGCGCCCCCCAGGTGGCACCTGCCCACAGGAACCTGGCCTGGCCATTCCCAGGGGGCACCGCAGCTGTGGAGGGAAACACTAGGCCCCCATCAGCTGTGGAGGGTAGCACTGGGCCCCTGTGCAGCTCAGGCAGGCAGGCAGGTTCCAGAGAGAAAAAAAAAAGAAAAAATCAGGCTCCCCCTTTTTTTCCCCCTTCAATAGGAATGCCTTTTTTTTTTCCTTCAGTGGAGCCTGCCTGCATGGGCTGCCACTGAGCTGCCTGCCCAGGCTCTCTGCAGAGCCCCTGACCTGCATGGGGCCCAGTGCTTCTCTCCACAGCTGTTGCACTTCATTAGATAGAAAACTAAGACACCTTGAAGGTGTTTTATTTTGCTATGTCCCAAAGTCATTTAAAGTGCAATATGTCGCCGACAGCGTAAACAGCCATTAAAGCGGTGCAAAAGGGCATTTAAACTGCTTTAAAGGCCAATTTCGTGGTGTGTACAAAGGCCCTAAGGCTATTTTGACCAGTTAATAAAAAGAGGTTTGGGAACCCTTAGTACTTTGTACTGGACTTGGGGGTTATGTTCAATGTCTGTACCATGCGTGCAAATGACCCAATAGCAGCACCTTGGTCATGGATAATAGTGTCTAGGACTATTTTTAGACAGTAAGAGCTGGCTGAATTCTTTGTCACTAAGAACCAAATCCTGCAGTCTCTTTCTTGTGACAATGAGGTTATTAAGAGCATATCATCACAGATAAGTATTCTGACCGCTCATACATAGACCAGCCAAACTGAGAGAGCCTGACATGATTGGTAACACCCAGCCTTGAAACAACACTAATGGAGTCAGATAACAACACTCATGGAGTTCACCCTGATAGCACTAGTAAATCTCTGCAGCACACCACCACATCACCACCATAAGGGATCCAACTGCAGAAAAGTCTTATCATTCCAGCAAGGTTATATGTACAGGATGGGTAGGTACTTTTTGGTTTAAGGAAATAAGTTCTGTCTGCTAAGTATTTCGTGGTTAATAACTCCCATTTTGATACCAGCTTTTGCTTTAATTCACTAAGCTTCTCTTCTAGTTATGGGGTCAACATATAACAGATAAAAGTAAAAGGCTAGTGGAAAAAACTAATTAAGCCCAGGAGCAAGACTGCAAGGTAGAGGCTCTCTTACTATATTACATGATGTTATAGGCAATCTAAAAATAATACAAAAGTATTGTTCACAGGTTGACGACAATTCTGAACTCATGCATGCTATGATGGACACATAGTCTTCATCTCAAAGTAGTGGGCCACAGAATTGATAAAAAAATGGGTTCAGAAATTAAATTTAAGTTAGGGTATTACAAATAGACAATAACATTCAATGTGTGGTTAAAAGTCCAATGAAGTTAATGGACATTTTTCCAGTGAGTTAGGGGCTATAGTTTAGGAGCTAGATCCAATAAAATGTCCACAAAATGTGCCTTGCAACATCTCAATTTTAGGCACTACAGAGTGAAATCTAGAACCCAGTTAGTTGCCTAGGCTTCTTATACAGTTCCTGGAGGCAATTAGACATTTCAGAAGGGTGATCCCAAAATGTACATACCAAGCAGCGAGTTGCTTAGAAGTAGCTAATAGGAAATGCAGAGCATCCAACTCCTTTCCAGAGCTCCAGTGTCAGAGTCAGGGCTCCAGGCAGGTGACTTTCTCCATTTGGGATCCAGACCCTGGCATCCTCTCCTGAAAGCCAATATATATATTGTCCAGAATAAGTGAGTCTTGTTCATTTCTTTCTTTCAAGACAGAGCTTCTGGACAAAAAGATGTTATCTGTAGTATCCACCTCATCTTGGATGACTGCTATAATTAGGGCATTATATTATAAATATTATAAAATGAGCTGTGCAGTGGTGCTATTTTGCGAAAGGTCCATTCCTGTTTGAATGTCAAGCATGCTCTGAGATTGCCCTTCATAGGATGTGAATGCTGCTCTCCTTAGTTTCTAGATTGCAATGAGGTTTAGATGGGAGTTCAGGACTGCTGCAGTTCTAGGCATGCAGAATTTCAAGTACCTATGACACTTACTATCAAACAAGGAGGTATTCTAGTGAGTTTCGGCATCTGCTAAACTGGGGCTGCTTGAATATAAGTTTTGGGCTTAGGTGCTCCAAATCCACCAAAGTCCTGTTTTAGGTTCTTAAATCCATTTTGAATCTGGCTTCTGAGTCTTAGATGCCATAAATACCAACAACACTGTACTGTAGCTACCCAATAGCAATGTCTCTAATAACTGTTCCATATTATTTACTATAGCCATATCCTTATGTCCCAACTCAGGTTTTAACAATACTTTACTTCAGCAAAGTCAGCTGGTGACTGCCACAGTACATACCCCAGCCTGCATTTCTGGAACAATGACATTGCAAGGTTGTACTTGCAAAGATTATATACATCACAGTCAGTAGGATCTCTCTCTGTAATAATGCCTAGGAAAATCTATTGAAATAGTTTTGTCAATGGCTCTCCAGAGGTAATTACTGAACTATCCCTGTAATTAATTCTAATTATGGTACTGCACTGTAACTACATCTTTCAATACATGATTATTGATGTTGAGCAGTGATTTTTATTAATAGTCTGAATGGGGTTATGGACAGATTTTTAAATGGCTCTGCAACACTAATGGCCTCTCTGTATGTGCAGGTAAGGAAGTGATCGGATCTGATGCATGATCCACAAAATCACACCTCCTGCCATGCCACATGTGCATAAGGAGCTGAAAGAGCTCCCAGCCACAGAGGCCCCTAGCCACATGTTCAATTAACAGTGTACTAGGAAGCAGCTACAAAATTATTACACATATTTTGTGGAATAACTTTGTAGCTTATTCCTCTTTTTATCATGGCATTAATTGATTGAACATGTGATTGGGTAACCACTTAAGATGTGATTAGCTGGTTATTCATGCTTTAAGTGTAATGTGTAGGTGGGGGCCTAAGTCTTTCCAGTGTCATCTGTGTCATTTAAGCCTCTGATGGATATCATGGATTTTCTGATAGCCAATAGTTATCATGAATCATAGCAATTTTAGATTCACACTTTACCCTACCTTGTTCCTCAGGACAGGCTATGCAACACTGACAACTCTGAAAACATACAATATTGAGAACATATAATAAGAGGGTACCTAGACAGATGTTTAATATATGGGAGCAGGATTGAGACTACTACACTCCTGGCACTGAGCGACTGTACCTTTGACACTAGGGAACAGAATGAAAAACAAAAAAATCAACCATCTCAGCTATCATGGAATTGTACAGGCTATTTTGTAAGTTAAAGGCTTCCTTGAAAAATACATTAATGGCTTCAGCTTGGACTTGAAAGTAGCCCAGTGCTCATTGCCAGATATCATAGCAGAGTGCCCACTTGACATATGGTTTTCAGCAGTGACCAACATAACAAGCCTTGTAGTGATGATTGCTTTGGGTTTCCTAAAGCATGAATGAGACATAGACTTAAAGGCTACGGACAGACATTACACATAAACCAGTTTAAGTGATCAGAAACTGGTTTAAACCTGTAACAGAACATAAGTTCAGTGCACATAAACCAGTTTCAAAATGGTGGAACTGGTTTAAGATAAACACTGTTGAATGTAGTATCAGACTTAACTGATTTGGGGCAAATTGGGTTATGCAATGTCTGTCCCAGAACACTTCCTGTTTTCAGTTAAACCAGAGTCCCCCAAGATCCCATATGCTTTGCAGCACTGGGCTGGGCTGGGCTCTCTGCTCCAGAGACCAGGGCTGGCCCTGTCAGGTTTGACCTAGAAACCACTATACAAAGCCCAAGCAAAAGTCTCTGTTATGTAACTAATGCCCATCTGCAATGATAAGGAGGAGACAGTCTTAGATAAAGGAGGCTTGAAAACAAAAGCAGAATCAGAGGACTAGGACAAAGAGCTAATTTAAATACTAAAAATCACGCCCCTAGGTGGGGAGAAAGTATGCTAATGAAACATACATGTATGTAAATGAGATACATAGCTAAAACACAGGTATAGAGACATGCTCAGTAAAGAACTCCTTGCGTCACTCCTTTATAACCAATTAGCAAACAAGAATGCTTATGAAGGTCCAATACTCCTGTATAAAAGATGCTTAGAATTAAGAATCTGTGTGCTTGTTACGTGAAATTATTCCACTTGCACCTTGTATTGCTAGCAATAAATCTTTATACTTTCACCCCTGGTATCTTTATTGGATTTTGCATACCGGGCACGATCCCAGACTTGAGCTGGGGCTCAACAACTACATTACATAGAGTTAAGTTCGGAGACTGGTACTCAACTGCTTTACTGTCAAGTTTTCAATCCTATAATTTAATTCAAATCAATTAGATTGTACTGGTAAAACTGGAGTGATTTGACAGTGAACCAGGCTCTAGTAAACTATTAAAGTATTAAAACAAAAATCCTAATCTGATCTAAGGCTAACATTATGAAGTGACATAGAGAAACATTGAGAAAATGATATTTGGAAACAAATGTATAAACATTTCCTTACCTTCCTCCATATCATAGAACAGCGTCAATGATATTTCACACTTTTACAGCTATAGTTAAACAGTTATTTATCAAGACTGAAAAACAAAGTTTGTAAAGATTAATAACCTTTTGGTCCAAATTCATTGTTGGTATAATTTTATTTAGAGTCAATTGGGGAATACCAAAGATGGATATAGTAAATAACAATCAACCCAAATATCAGTCATGTTTCTTGTCTTATCTCTGTATCAAGCAACACTTGAGTCTACTTCTTTTTAGAACTTCCGTGAGACACAGTTACAGATTACTTGGCTGGTGTAGGACATAATATTATCCTCATCACAGCATAACTATATTTAGAAACCCAGCTGTACCAATGGCTTTAGAAGTCCATATGGCAGGATTCTGTGTCTTGTTTCAATATGGTCACTTTCCTATCCAGTAATACTGTATGCATCAAGATTTCTTTGAGGAAGAAAAGGGGAAAGGGAAAAGAGATTTAAGTAACATTTAGATCATTTTTCTCTCAAAGAAGGATAACAGTTACAAAAAAGATACAGAGAGAAAAGATGACTAAATATTTTAATATTACTAGAGTAGGATAAAGAAAACCAGAATTACATTTTCATACCCTGAACAGGTAAATTACGTATGGGTTTAACTTGGAAATGTAACACAAAAAATATTTCTGAATCACTCTTTGCATTTTGATACCTGTATACAAACTGAATCATTTAAAACATTCTCCATAAATTACATATTCTGCTCCAAAGATCAATGAAGGCTTGAAAAGGCTTTTAGCATGAAATAATCAGTTTTAAATATCTGCCCAGTAATCTAGCAATACTTTGTTTTATTTTAAACAGTAGTCAAAATAATTTACTGTACCTTTCCAAGTACTCTAATTATGATATAGCAGTTTTGAGATATTTCATTTTATTATGTCACTATCCATTAAATAATACATGTTAAAAAAAATCAGACCTTTAATCATACAACAATATGAGGTAAAGTCACTTGCTCAGGTGTAGAGTCAGGGAACTTGGAAAAAGATCAATCTACCTATCTAGGAAGGTGTTTATATTTATTTGCTGCCATCATAGCTCATCTGTGAACTACTAGAATGGAGTTCAGCCCATTAGACAGCAAAATGTCTTTTCATTAATAGTATGTGGTATGCCTGCTTTAAGATTATATTCCCTGGTCAGATTTTGTTTATGCTACATTTTGGGAAACATCCTACCATTGCTGAGCTACAGTCCAAAGTCATAATAAAAGTCAAAACAGTCAGTGTCAACAGGCACTTTCATCACATAAAGCTAGATTGAGGCTACATAAACAATGGATTTTTGATTTACCTGATTATGTCAGAAATACAGTTTTCAACAGAAAAAAATAAATATCTGGCCCTTGTACTTATAAAGAAAAGCTTTAAAACATAAACTAAGTACAACCAGAGCAGTGATATCAGCCAGGGCCTGAAGAAAGGCTAAAGCAATAGTTCTGAGATATGTGAATTGTCCTTCAACCATCTTAGTGGAAGACTAACTTCAAGATCCGCTGCTCTGAATGCATTATCAATACCAGGCCAACAGACGACTCCATGTGTTCAAAAAAAGAAAAAATGCCATAGGTTTATCCTACCCACCCAAGCTGATAATCCTCAGATGCTATGATAGTACTGGGAAGCCCCTTCTACCATTCCTGGCTCTTCAAAAGAAACAGAACATAGATTCCGCTGCTGTCCACTCTGCTGCTTCTAAGGAGAGAAGAGTTATGCCATCACTTCTGGGGGGAGAATGGGCTCATACCTCTGTCCTTTGATGGAGGAAAGTAGACCCTGCTACCACAAGAGGAAGGCATATGATCACGCTATATGGCTTTGAATGTAGAATCACAGAAGCCCTATCAGATTGCACCAAGAGTAAAAGAAAACAACTGTGTTATCTAGATGTGCAAGTGGTAGTGAGTTCGTGATAAAGACACCAGCACTTGGTATATATGGACATTTCCACTGTTTCTAAATTCATTAGAGAAATTTATTGTTCCATTATTCCCTTACCTTCCTGGACCAATCAGGAGGTGAGTGAAGCTCCACAGCCCAGGGATCTCCAGTCTGGTGGATCCACTCCCTGCCAGGACCAAGAGAAATAGAGCAGCTACTGCTCTCCATGCCAACCCCAAACCAGGAGCATTTTGGTCAAGTTGGCATGGAGAATAGGAGAGAGGGGGCAGCTGCAGCTG